GTTTTTTGCAAGTAGTGAAACAAAATGTAATTAAATTCCCAAAAAAACATTTTTTTTAAACTTAGTTTAGACATTTTGCTCACATTTTTATATTTTATAACTTTCAGTTTTGAATGAATGTTCATTTTAATTTCAATTGTATAACATTACCCACGTTTCTTTGCAGCGAGTTTGGGTATCTGATATCTCAGGACATTTTCCTCGTAAATCGTTACATAAAAACTTAAGTGTGCTTCTCATCAATCGAGAAGAGATCTGCTAGATTCATTTTCCTGAAACAGTATGTTCTCGCCAACTGTTAGGCTAAAAGTGTTGGAGAAGATTGTGCATGTTCATTACTTGTTCTGATAGAGTTAATAGAAACTGAATAAACATGATATTTAGTGACTAAAAGAATTTCAGAATACATAATTCTCTGTCCTCAAACAATCTTGATTCTCCCGTGTAACGTTATCGAAAGCCAAAGGAAGAACTCAAAGTACTCAATTGCAAATGTAGCAAATTAGTCATAATTAGAGAAAAGTATAATCTTTTTCAAATTTCTTATTTTCTCTCTACCTGGATATGTTTTTAAAAAAGATTGCATTGAAAGCAAAATATAGTTTTACAAAATGTTCAAACTGAGTACATCCCACCTATCTGAACGGCTTTTTAAAATTCGAGTTCATTGTATTACGAAACTTCATCCCGGAAAGACCACGTCGCATTGCAAATTTCGCTCTTTACGGTTACGAGACTGTTGAACTTGTCGAGGAGGTCGCGTGGGTTTCGTATGCATTATGCGGCTGGCGGCTGAGGAGGAAGAGGCGCAAACGGCGAGCCGTCGTCTGTAAAGGGTGCTACAAATGCCCGACAATCAACGACATGAGGTTGCCTGGCCAGTCCACTCACCAAACTTCGCATAAAACCGCTTTTTCGTAAAATTCCACTCGCGCTAAAACAGCATTCGACCTATCATTTGCGTAACGCCGGTACACAATAGAACGTGAGAAATTTGTTATTTTGAAGGAGGTTATATTTAATATGGGCGTAGCAGTTTGTTTTGCAACCAAAACAAGGTTTTTTATTCTATGTACCGTCCATTTTGTGAATTATCTTGATGGAATATTTACCACGCAAAAATACATCATTTTCTAAACATATTTCTTCACTGAACTACGAAATTACGACTTTTGAGATCAGTCACTTTTGTTGTGCACCGATAACGACAGAGCTATTTCAGAGTCAGCCTCTTCCTTGTTCCTACCTCTACAGCGACTCTGGCCTGGAGGTTCTAGTGTTCGAGTTCCCTTCGATGGCAGATATTTGACACTAGCTTTAGGGCAAATTCAGCCGCTGCTTAGAGCCGATTTCTAGTAGCCGGTTTCCCTGATCGATAGTTTTTGGTGGTTTCTCCGATCAGTACCAAATGAAATGACGAACAGTACGGTAAAAAAGGCTAACGATTGCGCGAGCTTTCCTTCATCTTCCTTCTCCTATTTTCTCTCTTATTCACACGCGCCCCCACACCTCTTAGCCCTTCCACACATATATGGGCAAATTTTTCTATGTCCTTCGATATTCTTTTCATCGTAGAGGATGGTTACGGGCATATCCCGATGGTCCACCTTGAAAAAGCCTTTTACCTGCCTCCCCCAAAAGGCAAAGCTCGGCTTGCATCCCGTTCGGTTTTGCTCTTGAGTACGAGGAAGGGCTCCCCTTGCTATCAGTGATTCTTAGATTGCTCTTTGACAAATGCTCTTTTTAACGCTGATCATTTTGTTTTATTTTTATATTGTGTTAGATAGAAAGCGCATTATTTACCAATTAAACTTCATTAAATACTGTTTATTGAAACTGATTTCTATGTACGTATTTCTAATTTTACACTTCTCCAAAGAGAAGGTTGTCAAGTGGTTCATAGTTTTCCCTCAAAATAGGAACAGTTAAAATAGTTGCATATTAATTCAATAACAGAAACAGTTCTGACGATTCTACTAGGTTCGTCTACTAGTACGAAGTTTCTTCTCGATTGGCGCGAGAACATCTATTTACATTACTCATTAATAGAAACTGTACTACATTATTTCCGCTTTCCCCTCCAGAAACGCCGATTGGTGTGTAATCGGGCCATATGTTATCCAGTAGCCAAAAGTGAAAAGAAATATACTATGACAGGAATGTGCTGGAAAACTGACCGAGTGATGCAATTAAGCGATTCCGATAGCTGCAAGGAGAGAACATCGACTGTCTTGTTTTTTAGAAAACTAATTCTCCGCTCGCCCGAGTGTATTCCAGAGGAATTTAATTGTTTGAAAATTCCATTATTTTCGATTAATGTTTGGAAAACCAGTGTGGGCTTCATCGGTCCTTGATTCCCATGCATTTCGTAGTTCATACATAATATGCATCGAATTTACATTGTGCGAAGCTCGCAAACATTACGTAAAACCTCACCGACCGACACGAAAGCTTCAAATTCTTGCACTCTGTAATTTTGTTCACAGTTCCAAGGGGAAGGTACTCGCGCCTTGCCAAAGGGTAGCTGTCAATGTGACAATGCACATCCCGGGTAGGCTCTCGTCGACCGTCTCGTGTTTTCAGCCCTGCAGCTCTTTGCATGTGTCTCTCCCGCCTCCCGGCCAATGCATTGTTGGCTCTGATTCGGGGGAGGGTCGCTTTTGTATTGGCGACGGCGCGTCGCTAACTGCCCTACAGCGGACTCTATTCAAAAACAAGGTAGGGTCCACGGACCTTCAAGACACGGGGAGTCACAAACAGGCGTCCCGAAGAAACTTAGAAGCAGGTTTCTTTCCTGACAGTTGTGACAGTCGCCGGGCTGTGACCACGGTTAGGAGGATTCTGAAATGAAATTGTATGTGTTAATGTAATATATAAATTTTTACAATGCGATATGTAAATTCCTACATTGAATAATATCCCACTCGAGTAACATATATTTGCGACTCAGCGACTATAATACATGTTTTTGCTGATAAACAGTTTATTTTTATTCATTGTTTGAAAAAAGTTTAAATTAAAAAGGTTCTGTCATTATTTTAAGGACGTCTATTACAAAACATTTAAAGAAAAATATTTATCAGGTTGGGATTGGAGCTCAATCGCTACGGCTGATAATCTAAGGGATAATAATCGGAGAATAATCCCGACTCTTTTTATCCAAATGACAGAAAAACCCTTTATTTTTAATGCTGTGGTGATATGTGGGTGTCTCAGTGTTTCTAATACAGAAATCAAGATTACGCGAAAAATTAATATTTTTAAACCACCTGAAATAATTTAAAGATCTGTTATTGAAGAATAGATTGCATGAAAAATTGCATCTAAATAACGCAATAGTAGAAAAGTATGGAACAAAATTGATCTTTTGAAACTTTCAAAATTTCAGATGTTTTACGACGAATCGAATACACCCTCTACTATTAAGCACGCTTTGTTCTATTTAAGCAAATAATCTAGTAAACAAAGTTTAAGCTATTGTTGAGAAAATTTCGAAATCAAAGGGCGTCATGTAAAGAATCCTCCAAAATTAAAAGATTTCGTTTCAAGTTTGAGATTCCGCTATATCAGCTAGATCGACCGGGGAATTTTCATTTTGGAGAAAGTTCTGGTACGGTTTAAGAGCTAGTGGTATTCAGTGGCAGAACATACAGACGTTTTCAGAAAAAGAGCACAATTGTTAGTTTAAGGGAGCAACGTAATGTTTTTTCTAACTTCTCTTACTACGTAGTAGTACATGAGAAGTAACACTACGTAGTATAAGATAACGTAAAAATGAAGTATACACATGTTTAGTTTTAAGCTAAATAAACTAGTCCACCTGAGCATTTTATATTCACATTTTGGGAATATTTTTTCTTAATATACACGCCGTATTGACAATCGCGAATGTGTGTGGCGAATGATGTACGACGATGTTCAAATCGTGGTCAGACCTACACATTTTTTCAGGCGAGTACAATATTTTAAATATTTTAAACATTAGTGATGGAAATTGTCGTCAAAACAAAGACGACCCTAATACAATATCTATGACCAATATAATAATTCAATATCTATGACCAATCAGTGTAGAGAGAATCTGGGAGTGCAGTAATTGACGCTCAGGGTGAAACGGAGACAAGGGAGCGAAGTGCGGAGAGCAGGGAGCTGGGATTGATGAGTAGGCATTAAGAATTAATTGACTGATATTTTCAAGTGTTCCAGGTCGTCAACTGCATCGGTCATTAGTTACATAAGTTAAGTTCACGTCTTTTTATAGGATTTGGTGTCGTTCTTCCCCCGCTGGATAATGAGATATGGCTGGGGCCCAGCTCTAAACTCGCGACTGCCGCCGGGACGAGCTCTAATCTGCCGAATCGCCCGGCGTTGATCGGAAAACTGCCGAACAGAGAGGTGAGAGAGTGTCAAAAACTCCTGCTACCGTTGGGACTCGAACCCTCGGACATCCCGGTCAAAGACGTGTAATGCCATTAGCTAATGCCTTGAGCCACCTCAGCCCGTGGCGCCGAGTGGGAGCGGGGGTAGCACCGGTGTGAGGGCGTGCGCGTGCGGCGAATGCACGCGCCGTCGGGCGCTGACGTCAGCGGTGCCCAGGGCGTACGCAGGCCATGCTTATTCAATGGCTGACCCTCGCCCGGCCGCCGGCCCGCCGGGCCGCCCGCCACCAGGGAAGCTGCTGGAGAGAGGCTTCGGGGAGGGGGTGCGCGCGGGTCACGCGGCAACGCACAAGCTCGCCTAGCTTCCCTCACGTGCCGGGCGCGCCGCACGCACACACAGCGCGTCTCCGACGCCCTTGACTCCTTCGCCTGCCCTCGCGTTCGATAAGCTTCTTTCCTTCGCTCCTTCGGGCACACCTGAACGCTAACCGTCCTCGTGATGCCTGATGTTGACGCTCCTTTTGACATCCCACGCACGGACTTCACGTGGTCGTGAGGAGTCGTGTCCATCGGAGACTTGACCGTGATGTCGCTCACGTCTGTAAGACCCCTTTGCGCTTCATGAGCTCTGTCATCAGAACTCTGCAGGAAGCTAGTGAATTGCAGGTCTTTTGAAGACAACAATTTGTTTTTTATTCAGGCCAAGCACGTGACTATCTTGCCCGAGGACATTTATTTCGTTCGCCGTATCCGCGGAGGGCGTGCTTGACTGAAATTTGTTCTAGTTTCATCAAGCAACTTCAGAATATAGGGGACGCTCCAACGCTCTCATGTCATTCACACATTCAGTCCATTGATCTCCCAGCCATCCCCTACCTTCCTCTTTTTCTTCACTATCTTCACTCTTTAGTCAAGACTTAGAAGACGCTCTTCATGACCTTGAAACTGCCATAACCTTACTTTCCCTGACACCTAATGGATCCCTCACTATCTTCACGTCAAGAAAGCTCATGTTTTTCCACAGCTTTAGGCAGGAGATATCTTCGTTCTCTATATTATTTTCGCTATAAAAATAGTGAAATCTGTGCCCAACGTTTGGGTGGTAGAAATACTGCTTTTAGTAGTCTTTCAGAAACAATATTTAAATTAGGTAAAGACATATTCAGCCTTTTAGACTAATACAATAAAAAGGCAACAAATACAGTGGTAGTATCATTATCTTTTTAAATTTCTGTTTCATGCTCAGTATTAATCGTAGCAGAAAATAATGTAATTTTCATTACATTTATTGATTAAATATCGATATTTCCGAGAACATCAACTGTGTGGCATTAGCCCAGTTACTGCATTAAATAGTTTTTAACGACGATCTAAATTTTGCAACTGAATTTATCAACTTTTTCGTTACCCGGGCTCTGTTATAAGAGTTTTCTGCCGAAAATTCGCCGTTTTCTTGCGCAGCATTACATAACTTCTTCTCTACTCCGTAGCGAGAAAGTAAAAACATTGTAATCAATCGAAAACAACCAGGCCCCTAGAGACGTTTATGTAGCACAGAAAACTACTTAATGGATGAGTCAATCTCACATGATAAAATGAGTCGGAACACATTTTTGTTGTACTATTTCTCGTTCTGATAGCTTGATCTTACAAGTAATCAATCTAGAAATCGTTCTCATAAAAGGTTTTATGTGTTTACGGAATGCGAAATCGTATGTTGTTGCGCGTCCGCAGCAAGAGCTACGTCGACCAAGAGTTACTAGGTTCGAGGTTCAATGATGGATTCCTCTACTACACATGTAAGGAAACCAGTCGGGAGCGTAGAGTTTGTTCCGGCTGGGGAGGTGACCCACCGGGGAAGATGGCTGGAGGTAGGAAATACCACGCATGCCGACGTGTAGGTCGGTGCCGGATGTCACCGGGGAGGCGCACTACCACCTCCAGAGATAAAACATTCACTATATAAACGGAACAAATGACCATAGCGGTTGCCATATCCGAATTAATCATCAATTGTTAGGGAGAAGCAACAAGGTAGGAGACTGTCACGTTGGGTAATCACGATGTGACGTGACGTGACGTCGGTGCTGTGGGCTTCTCCGGACACGTTTTACAAGGACAACGTGCCCCTAAGCGGAGGAATGGGCGGAGTGGAATGACGTTGGTCGGTGCTACTTTAAATGAAGCGAGGGACGATTTTAGACTTCCCAGCCGGCCGCCTGCGACGACAATAGTTGCGTTCGTCATAACGCTTGGATCAACAATCCTAACACATTTCTCTCAGCATATTCAGAATGAGAACTGTGTGCAAAAAACTGGGCAAGGGTTATATTTTGCGATTGGCTTTATTATTATACCACATACAAATGCAAATACATGGTCACAAGTACAATAACTATCATATAATATATAATATATATATATATTCATTATATATATATATATTATATACAAGCGGAACGTAGGAGAAAAAAAGTAAAGGCAAAAAATTAGAATAAGTTAAATGTACAGACACCAGCAAGAATATGAATAGAAAAATGAAAGAGAAAAGTAGGAATCAAACGAAAGTGAGAAAAATAAAACCCAAGAACAACGACGGCAGTAAATAGTGGAAGAAGGAAATAAAGTAAGAACGGAGAGCATGGCAAGATAAGATGAAGCAGCAGAAATGGATGGTAAAAGGGAAGGATCAGAAGTCACCTAACTGAGGCTAGCCTAGGACGAAAGCTTACAGCGGCATCCTAAGGACGTCAGCCACGGGCCTCCGCGGAGAGGCCTATCGCCTACCCCGCGCAGCTGCTGCGTTGGGCGCGCAGGAGGAGGCGGCGGCGGGCCATCGGGCTGCGGGGTCACGCACCTGGGGACGCGTGGGGCGGGGGGGCGGGGCGGGGCGGGAGGGGGCGGGGGGGCGGATCGTATGTTAGTGGGCGGCGGGGGGGCGGGCGGACGGGGCGGGCGCGCGCAAGCGGATCTGATGTGTGTAGCAGGGCGGGGCGGGACGTGGTGTAGTGTGCGGCCGGCGCGAGAGCGGCGACGGCATCAGCGTGCATTGGAGAGGCTTGGAGCGGGGCCGGGAGCCGCCCGCCGACACGTCACGTGGCCGAACGAGCCTTCGCAGCCCCCCGGGTCAACATCCTCCCGGGGCTCCGATCTCCGCCTTCGCACTTCACTCACAGATACAGGGCTGTTTCGACGCTGAATCACTCTGCATCGCATCCCAGATTGTTTTTTCATTGAGTAAGCAACATAAATAATCATTGCGTTATCAAGAGTCAGTGAAAGCGAATTACGTGCTGAAAATGACGCCGATCGCATTGCTCGTTACTGCTCTTTACGATTTTTAAATTATAAAAGTAAAACTTACATAACATTTATTATTTTAGCCGATTTCTTGTATTAGTAACTAATCGAATAAGAGATGTGGTAGTTGTTAAGTGCCTTAAGTCATTAGATTAATTCGATTAAGTCATTTATATATACGTATTCGATTTGTAAGACTGGCTCCTAATCACCAGTTACCGCCACATGGGAGTTTTGAAGCGCCAGGATTGGATAATTAGGCCTTTGAAAACTTGGCTTAACCACGGCACATCGTCCCTGAGAGCTGTCATCACGATTTATGTCAAAATGCGGCCACTCGCAGCTTATCGAACTCCATCCAGATGTTTCGAGCTTTCAGGAGTAAAGTCATGTGAGCCGAGTGGGAGAGGTTCGGAGCAAATTATTTCTGAATTGCGCCTGAGCCAAAACTCGCGTATCACTAAAAAACCAGAACCCAAATGCCCGAACAAATCCGGGAGGCTGTCTGTTCGTGCCCATCTGCCCATTATGCCCTTCTTGAGTACTAACGACGTGAGTTGTTACTGGGTAAACGTTTCTAAACCTCCGGCAGTTTGGGATATAATCCGATGCCTTTACCCTCCAGTGGAGTGCGTCATTACAGTAGGTGAACCGAGTTAAAAAAATTCAACTACACTACAGCAGATTCGCTTGACAGCTGTAAACCCATCACTCCATGACCACTGGCTGTCGTGAAGTAACTTCTACTTGTCTTCGGATGGCCGACATGCTGTCGTCTCGTATTCGTTATCCGTGACAGACGTCCGAATCCGCGTCTTCACGCACGACTGCGCTACACGCACTGGGCACAATGATTCTTTAACGTTTTATTATTTATTTTAATTCAAAGCTTAATTATTAAATTATTGTTATTTAAAAGTAAAAATAAATATTTAAGATATAGTTAATTTTTCAACACTTCGGGTCTCATCTGAAATGTAATATTGCTAACGACTTCTACTGCAATGAGTATTACTTTACTGTTGCTTTACTACACTGAGAACAAAAAGTCGCCACCCGTTGATTTGTTAAAAGTCGCCACCAGGTTTTTCATTAATTCTGCCTAGGGTCGACCTCCGACCTGGCCCCTGAGGTCAATGACAAATCCTGCTTCCTATGATCTTCTGAACCTGTCCATTTTGTTAAACATCCTGTCTATTATCAAAGTTTGGTGTTCTGGGTTTTAATTTATTAATTTGGAGCCATAAACGATTCTTCTAACACCAGTATTCAGTCAAATGTAAACATTTTACAAACGGATTGATGGAAGGGAAATATGTCCTGCTGTTCAGGGAAGGCAACTGAGGCAAACTAACCAACGAAACATTTGTAAAAATTTGATACTCAACGAGACCGACTCTTTGATCGAAGGATTGGGTCAGGCAACCCTCTTGTGTCCTTGTAATCTCTCGAATCTTACAATGGCAAAGCCAGACAATATGTTTAAACAGCGTACATATCACACACCTTCGATTAATTCCGAATACTTCTCCTATTATTTCCATCCTCATAGGAAACAATATTCACTACTTCCAATGTTTCTCAATTTGAGAATTCGGGTCATTGTGACAATATTGTGACATCTAAATGATATCCCCTGTATGAGAGCACTTCCTCTCCTGCAGGCCAAACAATGTATTTAAGTTTTAATTTTAATCCACTGACAGAAGTAGTCAGAAAATAAAATTAATATTATGAATTAATAGTGACAATTAAAAAAATAGTGTTGAACAACTTTTATATTATTATTGATTAAACGTTTTTATATACACTATAATAATTATAATTATTACAGTTATAAACAATTAATGTTTTCTACATGTAGAAGCTCAGTAAATTGTATATCTTCAGATACATTATCATAGAATATGATAGTCGCATTATAATCAACACAGTTTCCAAATTCTATGCTAGGAAGTGGCATTGACCTTTCATTCGTTTCCGATAATTCAAAAGACACTCAATAATTCAGGAGAAGACGTTATTAGGATTGGAAAGATTCATTAACTGTAAGAAAGAGAGTGACATCCGTCTCGGCAACGTGACAAATAATCAAGTCCTTGTTTTTGTAAAAATTATCACACTGAGTAGAGCAGAATTATTTCCTCATGGTTCTCGCAATGTTGTAGAATCACGGAACCAGACACTTTAACTAGGAATGAGGTGAAATTTTGCAAGTTGATTTGTTTTGCAAGTAATTAAGAATTAAGATGATTTCAGAAGTACTAGCACACGTGACCAAGTATTCCAATTGAAACAAGGAAGGAAATGTCTGCTTTAATGTTCAAGTTCCATGAACTTCGAATACTTCCATAGCCTTGCACCTTCAGTTATAAATTGATATATATTTAGTATTTGTTGAAAATAACATACTCGTATTTCCTTCTTTATTACTTAATATTAATTTTTATCAAAAGTTTATAATTATACTTTTTGAATTTTTTAAAACGTATTTAATTATTTATATTTGTCAACCAGTCAACTGATAGCACAAATTTTCAAATATTTATAGTCAACTCATATTTCTATATATTCTAACATTTTATTTCTAATGCATTTCGTATACTTTCAAAACTTTTAGT